GCTCCCGTTCCTCAGAGCCAGCCCCCTTGGGGAGGCTGGGCTGGCCCTGTTTCTTCCTGAGAAGCTACAGGGATCTCAGTCAGCTCTCTGCGCAGCAGGGAGAGGGCTCTCGGGGGCCAGTTGAGTCTTCCAGGGGCCGGACCAGGCCCATCGCAGAGACTTGTCTTCGAAACAGCTGGGTGCAGAAATTGTAGCTTCCTGGTGACAGTCGGCTCCACTTTGCATGGCAACACAACATGTTCCTAATGACTGAATTGTTTATTTAATAAAGAAATCACAACCATTCGGAGGTTTAAATATAGCTTCTCAGAAACCCAGTGAGCTCAGCTCCTGGTGGCTGCGTGGCGCTGGCACCAGCCCAGTCCCTACACCGCACGAAGCCTTCAGCAGTGGCTTGAAAAAAATTCTTGAATTTCACTAACCCTGTTGTCTTTCCTTCCGAGTCTCTTAGTGGCTTTGAATAGAAGAAACTGGTTATGTGAAAGGCAAAACCTCTACTCGCAGGTTCTGAATCCGATGGGGGAAGTTCAAAGGTGCCCTCGGCCCTGCTGTTGATTTGGCGCACATGTCTTTGCGCTGTCCCTGGGTCCCCCTGACCTGGAGCCCCAGGGAGCAGCACAGATGGATCCCTGGGATGGTTTCTTGGTGACTGAAATACAGAATGTCCCATTGAGAGCCTTTTAGCTCAAAATTGCATTCGGAGCCAGCAAGCCCCTAGGACTTTACAAGCAAAGTTGCCCTTTTCCTGTCTCTTTTGGGGTAGTTGGGGGCTCTGTCTCAGGCTTTGTGAAAAACCCAGGGCTCTGTCTGGCTGGGGCGTTCTTAGACCAGAAGCCATATTCCTTAAGTGGCCTGCCAACCATCCTTCTCCCTTCCCTCCCCGCATGCCCACCACCCACAGCTCAGGCCACCAAGAAAGACCGGGAGACAGAGAACAGTGTACAAGAGTTTATTTAATTGATATCTGAATTTAGTTCTATCATGTGGGGCCCACATTACAAGTTCCAGCTGGGTCCATTACAACTCTAACAAAAAAAAAAAAAAAAAGAAAAACAAAAAAGAAAGAAAATCCACAACTTTTTCCATGTCATTAAATATATTCATATATAATAACCATAATATATTAGTATGCATTGGAAAGGAACACTGACCCAAACAATATGTCATGGTCACAACTAAACATTTACAATTCTGAGTGAACAGAACTCTGGGACGCAGGGGGAGCTGAGGGAGGATGGGAGGTGCACTGGGGAGCAGGGAATGGGAAGAGATGTCCAAGGACACGAGGAGTGGGGCTGGCTTGGTTTTGACAGGGGGCCAGGCCCACAAGCCCACATTTTGATACCCCTAGGGTATGGCATGGCTGTGGCCATGAACCGTGGCCCAGTAGCCCCATCGATGAGTCTAATTTGTTCACTCTCCAGGCTCCCTCAGGGAGGAGGTGGGGGGCTTCCTTTGCGAGTTGAGACTTTAACATTTTTCAGTTTCCTAAAGGGACATACCATTTACCAATCTCTCAAGGTCTCCTTGATATCAGTCTGGTTCCAACCTTGGGGAAAACCCCAGAAAGCCTGTACCCATTTCCTGCATGCTACTGTGGAGGCAGAGTTCCAGGAGGTCGCTGGGGCCTTGGGGCAGCTCCCAGCCTCCCTGACTTGGACTGTAGGTGTCCTTCCCATTTGTCAGAACCTGAAGATGCAGCCTCCTACCCCGCCTTCTCAGGACAGAAGCCACAGCCTGCAGGGAGTCCCGGGGGCCGCCCCACATCCTCCCCGCTTCCCTCCACCCCAATCTTAGCGTTATTGTGTGTCAGCAAAGCAGGCTCTCGACTCGCAGGGGTTCCAGACCACCCAGCAGGTAAGAAAAAGGACAACTGGGGAGTGTTTTTTTAAAAAAAAAAAAAAAAGACTAATCTGGTATGTTTTTCTTCAAACACCTACATATCACAACTCTGGTTAATACACTCTTCAAAATCAAAATCTAGTTCCATTTTACACCCCTTCCTAACTGTACAAACCAGAATACCTCAATTCCTATTCCCAGTTCCCCCTGGGGAGGGGCAGAGGTGGAAGTGGGGTGCTTCCCCAAGGATGGGTCCTCACTGCTGAAGTTGGTGGCTGGATTCAGAGGAGCGGGGGGCTGGGTTCTGGCTGGGCCTGTGAGATGGGGAAGGCAGCCTGCGATGACCGAAGTCCCAACAGTGTCCTCACCCCGACCTGGCTGATCTGGCTGCCCTGTCACTTTCCCCAGGGGCCAGGCCACTGGGTGGATGGGACAGCCTCTGCTCTCCGGGTGCTGAGCAGGAGGGTGAGGCTGGAGGCTCGAGGCTGGCTGAACTGAAAGCAAGATGCATTGTTGCTTGGCAGGCCGCTGGCTCCAGAGCTGGGACCTCAGATACCACCAGTGTAGACCCCTCAGTGGACATGGGGTGAGACTCAGACCCAGGGTGGGAAGTGGTGGGGCTGCTACAGCTCTTCTGGGCTGGGCAGAGAAGGCAGGCCAGGATAAACAGACAGGACAACTGCCCTAGCCCAGTGCCTTTTGATGACTGTGGGCCAGCAAATGCCGAGGCCTCCAAGATGCCAATGTGGTGCTCTGCAAACCATGCTGGACATCAGAGGAGGGCTGGCTGACTGGAGAGTGGTCCCCATGCTCCTGGCCTTGGGCCCAGATTCAGGGAAGACAATTACCCCTTCCTAGGGCAGTTCTGCCTTCTCCCTGCCCCAGTGAGCATCTCTGCCAGTCTCTCCTGGAATCCCTCCAAACACCCCCAGGCAGCCAAACGTCCTTCCTCTGAAGTCTTAAGCTCAGCCAAGGCCTGCCTTCCTTGCCTTCCTGGAACCTGGGGTTTCCGGGGCTGCCTGTGGCGAGTGTACACCCATCCTCACCCGCCACTCTTGCTGCCACCTCTGAAGGTGCTGTTGTGTCCCCCCTCCCTCCACTCTCCAGGCTAGACGCAGTGGCCAGGGCCAGAGTCTCAGCGGGGCCTCACCCAGGAGCACCCCTGGCAGCCTGCTTCAGGAACTGAGGGGGTGGGCATTAGAGCTAGCGCGCAGCGGGGGTGGCAGCACGGCTCTGGAGTCGGAATCCAGCTCTGCCACTTATTTGCCTGGTGACCCTGGGCACATGTGCTTCAGTTTCCTCGCTGGTGAAAATGGGGTGCGAACCCCTGGCTCCCAGGGTTGTCATGAGGACAATACGAGATCACGTGGGTAAAGTGCCCGCCCAGAGCAGGTGCTCAGTAATGGCCGCCAGGGCGCAGCCCAAAGTCGGGGAGGCGGGGGGAAGGGAGACCACGAGGATACTTGGTGTGACCCTTTTGAGCAGCCAAACTCCGCCAGGGGAAATGACACCAATTTCCTGACTGAGGGGGGCCAGGCCTCTAACGCAGTGTGCTGGCTGCGAGGACAGGCCAGAGGCCCCTGGGCAGTGCGGAGAGCTCAGGAGGAGGGAGGCAGAGGGCCCAGGGCACAGGAATGGGCCCTGTGAGAGGCAACTGGACAAGGGTCGGGGGCTGTCTGCTTGGGGACGGCATCTCTAGGAAGTTTTGGAGAGGGGGCCTGGCCACACCGGGGGCATGGGAGGCCTCCACAAAGGGGCCAGCTAGAAAGGAGCTGGCTAGGTGCTGCCCAGGCTAGACCAGGACAGCTGTGGGGGGCAGTCCCAGGGTGGGGGGCTGCAGCAGGCTTTCTCAACCTAGCAGCCTCTCTCCTCTCCCTTGCAGAGCCAGGAGCAACAGAAAGTGGTCATGGCTTCCTGGGTACGCTGGCACCTGGTCATTCCTGCCCTTGCCCGCATGGCTCCAGGCACCTGGCTGAGCCAGTAAACCCGGTCCCAACCCAAGCAAGCCCCTACCCCCAGCCAGGCCCGACGGCCTCTGCAGCCTGCATTCCATGCCCTTCCCAGCTGTTGACACTGCTGAGGAGCCTTGTGGGAGCTGATGTCATTACACAAATAGTGTCACTGCTGTAAACCCAGCCAGTGCCCCTTCCCCCTCCCGTGGAAAATGTCATAAAGGGGCTGGTTCCAAGTTTCCAAAAAGGAAACTCTCTGGGAGGTTCTGCCTTCGCAATGCCTCCTCCAACAGGCAGCTCCAGGATGAGGCAGTGACCACCCGGCTTGGGCTTCTCAGGGGTGTCCTTGGGCCCACTGCCCTCTGCCTGGGCCAGCACCCAAGCCCCAGCTAGGTGGGGCAGGCACCGGCAGGGGCTTCTACTCCTCGGGCTCCACAGATGGCAAACTCCGGACCCCATCCCAAGACCTCACCCGGGAGGACCATGCAGCAGGTGGCAGTGGAGACCAGCCCGCATGGGGAGTGCTGACTGGACACGCTGCTTCCATCTCCCCCAAATGCTAGCCAGGACCCTCCCGATGGGGCCCAAGTTGTCACAGCCAGGGGGCCTGTGGGAATTCCCAAAGGAGGGTCGAGGGAAAAGGAGGGAATTTTCGTTTTGGGGGCGGGGGTCTGGCCGGCCTTGCTCTGTCCCCCGCCCAGGCTGCGGGCCTGAGAATTCACAGTTCTCCTCACGTCCCCTTCTCCATCACCATCGACGCGCCGCGGGTGCGGCGCCCCCTGCGCGGTTCTGCGCCCTCCCGTCCCCCGGGTCCGGGTCAGGCGGCCCGCCCCTCCACGGCGCCCCCGCCGGGCCCAGGGCAGCAGTCTCTGCTCTGGAAGGAGCCCGTGAGGTAGCTAAGTCTCGTCCTCATCTCACCAGGGCCCGGCCCGCGGCGCACGCCACCCCGCGCGCGGCTCC